AATTAGTGGCCTCAAATATGGTCAACCATTGATAGACGCCGTATTAAATGGAATTAATAAAAGGTATTAAACCTATCACTCTCATTTATTACATATATTTTATTTTTTTAAAGATTTGAACATATATATAAGGATCAATATGTTCTTTCTGTTTATACATCCAGCATTCAAACTTCAATGGCCATGGATAAAACTTCCACAGAACGAACCTATTAAAAATAAACTTATAGCGTTATTGAAAAAAATGCTTTGAAAACCCTAGAGAACTGTTAATTTCGAGATATCCTTTTTTTTTGTCGAGAGTAGAGAATGGATTGGAGGAGGATAACTTATCTCAATTATTTGCAAATAACAAAACAATATGTTTTTAATTAATTCATCACCTTAAAAGAGCTGTTTATTAAGTATAATACCGCAATCCCCTCATTTGCCCCTGTAGAGCGTGTTTTTAGGCTAATGTCGTATTAACTTCCAAGTGTTCCTGTCTATCTGATAAATATTTTGAAAACAATTGTTATTAAAATTTAATAAGAAAAATTTTTTATAAATAAAAATATTTTTTTATTCGCTATATTATATTATATTATTATATTTTATTTATAATTATATTATCAAAATAAAACTATATTATTTTTTAACATGGCTAAAATATATTGTATTAAAAAATATAAGTTTATTTATATTAAATTAAATTTAAAAAAAATTTATTATAAAATTTTGAACGGTTTTATGAACGTGAACGCGTTCCTTTTTTTTGAACTTGAACGTGAACGCGTTCGATTTTTTTAGAAAATTGAATCTCAAATCTTCATGTTTTTTCGGAATCTGTTAAAACCATTAAGATTTGGAATAATTATAGCTCTTATTGATTTAATTAATATCATAAAAATATTATAAAGCCCTCAATCTTTGAATGAACAAATAAATAATTATTGCTTTTTAGGACAGATATATTTTTTTAAAATGTTTTATAAAAATAAACATATAAAATAATAATATTTAGGAAAAATTTATATCAACTTTATCTAAAAATTATTTGTAAAATTTTGATAAATATTTTATAGTTTACGATCGCACTTTTCGGTATATATAAAACATCATAGTTCACTTGAAATCTCTCATTTCCATCTAATTGGGTTAAGAAATAGGGGGTAGCCTATGAGAGAAGCCCAAGAAATTATATTGGCCTGGGCCAGACAATTTACTTAGATCCGCCGACAATTTATACATTGAAATAAGAAAGAGTCTCACAAATATCTGATTTTTCAAAATTTTAATAGGCCAACCCGAGCATTAAAATTTGAATATATTTATTTGAATTTCAAGCAAATTTTGGTTAATACTATTTGAAAATAAATTACAATATATACTTATTTTTTTGTACTAAAATACTTAAATTTATAAATATAAATAATATAGTAAATTCATAAAAAATTAAAAAATTTATTAATATTTTGATCCAATTACAGAACACAATACAGATATCAAGCACAATTGATTTATAAAACGGGTGTTCTAGAAAAAAATAGATGGCAATAAAAGATAGATATTAGGGACTTAATTGGCACTGAGAAAAAATTAGATGTAGATATTTTAAAAATGTGATGATCAGAAAATTCGTACAAAATATTTAGAAGGCTGGAGCGGAATTTTCATAAAATTTCAAAGGGCTGGGCCTGATTTTTCGTAATTTTTTTTTAACTGAACAGGCAAATTTAAAATAATTATAACATGCCGAGTAAATATTTAACGGGATGGGCATGGCAACATGTGAAAACCATATGAACGGCCGAGCTTTGCAGATCTCGAATACTACGTGAGAAAATCGAATTCCCATTTAATTAATAACCAGTAAAAAATAGTTATTTTCTTTATTCCACGAGGAGACAAAGTCAAAATTTTTAATCAACTTTATTTTGCACCAGTTTTGCGGTGGATGAGTATTACAAAACATTTGAGAGTAGCTTGATATAAATAGAGCGAATATTATTTACTCCAACAGGGAAAGAAAGTTAAAATTTTTAAACAAACTAAATTTTTTGATCCAATCCAAAATCAAGTTGTTCAGAAAATTAATTTTTTTCGCTCGTCGAGTAATGAAACATGGCACTATCTTTTCAAACTACCCTAATCAAAAATTTATATCAAGTCTAAGACCAAATTTATTAAAATATTCTGTTTCTGTATATTAATAAAATATGATTATATATTTTTTGTTTGTAATAAACTTAAAGATATTCATCAAAATTTTTACAACTGATTTTTAGATAGATGATATGAATTATTCTATAAAATTTTCTAGATTTATTTTTAAAATAATAATTTAAGAGCCATTTTTTTCCCGGTCATGGGTTACTTTATTTGAATATTTACTGTATTATGATATGATGTCAAAATGTATTAGCAAATGATTATTTTTTTAAAAAGGTTAAATAAATAAAGGTGAAAAATTGTAGAAATAGAATTTACGGGAAAGGATAGGGGATAAAAAAAGGAAGCTTGGAAAATGGAAGGTTATTCAATGGAAGAGATGAAGCTTAGATAGTTAGAACGAATGATGGCGGTAGCAAGTCTTTGGCATAAGAAGAGGGGCAAAGGAGTGCTTACGCTTAACACCCCTAATATAAAAATAAGTACCTCTAAATAGAAGGGTTGGCAAAATTTATGATATTTTTTTTTGAAAAAAATCAACTTTTTGATTTAAATTGCGATTTAAATCAAATACTGATATTTCATTCAGAGAAGTAAAAATTTCGATTGAAAGATATGATATATCATAAAAAAAATTTACCTTAGTATTATATTACCTTGCAAGTAAAAAGTTGATATTTTAGTACCGGTCAAGAAATTGTTGAAAAAATATATTCTTATTAAGTCATGAGCTAATTTATTTTGTCAATCAAAAATTTGATGAAATGTGCATTAGAGGTCTGCTAAGCCCAGGCTGGGCTGGGTTTTCTGAAAAAAATTTCTTTGGATCGGGTTAGGCAAAAAAAAATATTGGGCTGGATATTGATGAATTCTGATATTTGATAGAAATGATAATCCATAAAGTGTAGTGTTTTGTTTTTAATTTAACCACTCCCCAATATTATAAATTTATTTTTGTGTTTAACTATATATTTCGAGTTGTCCTTGCATTTAAAAAAACTGGACTGGGTTATCCTAGTAAAAAATTAAACGGGCTGGGCTGGATAAAAATTTGGCCTAGCCAGGCCTGAAAATGTTGCAATTTGTAGACTTCAAATATGCATACTGTTTAAAAAATTTTAACTAAGTGAGTCGGAAATAAAATCATTCAATTTTTCGAACGAATACTATTATGAATGTCCTTAAAACTGGTAAATCAAATTTAAAAAAAATTTCTTCACTAATAAAATAAGTTTATTATTTTTAATTATAGCTATTGTTATTTCCCAATTTAGTATCCTGCTTATTTATTAGCCCAATTTAAAATGCTAAGGTATACCCTTAATTAGTTTTATGTCAATTGCTTGGAAACATTTTTAGAACTCTTCTTCTCATCTCTTTTTCTATTTTTTTTAAAATATAATAATTATAAAATTATCATAATATTTAAAACACTATAAAAATAAAGCACTATTAAAATAAAAATATAATTGTGTTCCCAAAAAGTAACCATAATTATATTGAATTTTTTGACGTATATATAAAATTTTTTAGTCTTTTGTAAAAAGCCGAGGTTAATTGCGAAATGGCTGTTTGTGGAAGCCACTATTAGAATAAATAGGAAATTGTTAAGATTTTTTTAGTTATTGATTTTTTTTTTGCTTCTGCTTCTGTTGGCGGATTAGTATTGATGTTTGAGGACATTAGCTCAAATATTGATATAAATAAGAATCTATCGAATTGGTTAAAAATTTGTGGATCGACACGATTCTAGTAAAAATTGGTATGATATATTACGTGGAAATAAAATTAGATATTTTTTAGGAAGATGTTCCGTGTTGGAATGAATCAGGAACGCAAAAGCGCCTTGTCCCTATCTATTTCTAATATTTTTCCAATGTAAATTAAGCTCACTATATTTCTCCTCTATGACTATCTTTTTCTACAACAAACGCTTTATTAATTATGTTTGATATCTATATCTGGATATCATAAATAACTTGTTTAAAATACAAAGAAATAAATAAGCATATTATAAATTATTTTAATTAGTATTAATCAAAATCAATTTGCCTGAAATTCAAAAAAAAAATATATATAATCTATTACCCGGGCTGGCCTATTATTTACGAAAAATCAGAGATTTGCGTGACCCTACTTAATCTTTTATGTATAATTGTTCTGCCAGCCCGAATATTTTTTATGTAAGGATAAAGCTGCAGTTTTATGTGGATTCTGAAATATATTTTGTAAGTATCGTAAATTATTATATATTTTTTTTTTATATATTTGAAATGTCAATCATTTCAATTTGATTTTTGGTAATATTTTTTTTACCAAGAATTATTATTTTTTTTTGTAAAATTCTGATGGAAATTTTTCTATTTTTGAAATTATTGTCTGAAATAATTCGTTTATTATAAATAATTGATTAGTTAAAAAATCATGTTAATAAAATATTAGAATAAAAATATCGTGTTGTTACAAAATAACCGTCTTGAGTTAGATCCCTTAAATTGTAATTTGAGTATAGTAATGGATTTCAAGTAAGGTTTTATTTTTTCTCATAGATAATATTTTTTCAGTGGATTTCAAGTAAGGTTTTTTTTTCTCGTAGATAATATTTTTTCAGTAAGATTTTCACAATGCTTATAAATTGCTCAATTATCACGAGTTACTAATTTTTTAAATAAAAAATATATTACTATTTTTTAGAAGAGAATGGAGGGGTAGGCGGATTAATGATAAATAAAGCAAACCAAAAATAAGAATGTAATGAATAACTAATTATTAGAGGTCTGAAAACCCCAGCCCACTCGACCCTGGGCAAATTATATACTAAATTATGCAAAAATAAACAAATTTTTAAGCAAAAATTCTCCCACCTTCCTGCCATTATATCTCTTCCAAATCCCGAAATCATGTCTTGCTGCATGAGCGAGGAAGCTAAGGAACAAAAAAGGATCAACCAAGAGATAGAGAAGCAACTCAAGAAGGATAAGAGGGACGCCAGAAGAGAGTTGAAGCTGCTACTGCTAGGTTTTTACTTTAATAATAATATATCTTTCCATTCATATTTCTATTCATTTAATATTTTTCCTATTATGCCTTTCCTTCTTTCAATACTAGTAATAATCCTTGTGCTTCCTATCTTCTATAATCCACACCAAAGTTTTAAAAAAATCTTCCAAAATTTTTTAAACAAAAATAAAAGATATTTTTGAAAGAAATTTCTGATCAAATTTTACTTAAAAATTCTAAATATTTTGTAATTTAATTAGATTTTCGATCAAAAATTTAAAGATTTTTTCAAACTCTGATCCAAACTTATTCTACATAACTTGATTTGTTCGTTTTATTTGATTGTTTATAAAATACCTGATAAGCCAAGGTCATATAAAGAGGATTTATTATTTTTTAATTTGATCCTTAAATAAAATAACATAATACAATTAAGGAAAATTGGTAATAACCAAATTCCAAAAAGTTATGACCAACACAGGACGTCATTTTCAATTTTACGAAGGAATAGGAATGGAACGAGATTAGTTTTGAAAGTTTTTAAAACAACCAATCTATATATAACATTTTCCCGTTACTGGTTAACGGTGCATATATACACCACCTCCTATATATCATTTTTAAACATAGTAGTTTTTATTTTAAAAAATAATAAAAAAGGTTTTTATATAGTTCAGACACTGTATCTCAAAACTGGAAAAGAAAAATATGAAAAAAAAATTTTTTTATGTCCCTAAGAAGCCCTCAAACATGGCGAATTTTTGAGGTCTAAAATGCAAAATCTTCTAAGTGATCTCACGAGCATATTAAGAAATTATTTCTATGAAAACTAGTGTTTATATTTTTTTATAGATATATCAATATTTATCAATCAATTTTGAATTTTTAAATAATTAAATTTTCAATAGGTAACCATATAAAGTTGACTAAACAAATCTTATTTAACTGTAAGCGGAAAATAATTCCCCGGAAAAAAATTCCCTGGGAAAAAAATCCCCAGGAAAAAAATACCCAGGTAAATAATTCTCCGGAAAAAAAATCCCCGGAATAAAATTCCCCTAGAAAATAATTCCCCGGAAAAAATTTCCCCACTATATATTGAATTGCTAATGCATTGCTAAACTGCATTGCTAAAAAGCAATCAATCATAATCGATCATAAATCAATCAAAATTTTATTATGTATATTTTATTAATGATAATTTTTTAAACTTTTTTTAAAATATACTTAAATTATTTTTTTATTATAAATGAAGAATACTGATTAAATATCATATAGTATATTATTTTATTTTTATTTAATATTATTAGTAAGAAATTTATTTTTCTAGCTTATTAAAACAAAAGTACATTTTATTCAATTTTAAAAATTAACAAATATATATCCGTAAGAGGGCGTTATATGTTTTAATATGTATCATTTTAGGAAACCGGAATGATGATTGGATAGCACTTTTTTTATATTTGGGTATATATACATATGAAAAACCTAAAAATTAAAAAAAATTTTTAGGTTTCTTTGATGTTTAATTTATGAGTAGGTTTAGAATAGTAAAACAATGGAAATTTTCTAAAGTAAATATTGCTGGCGTTATTTATCAAAATCTCTTCATTTTTGTTTTATACGTGTATATTTACGTGCTAAGCATTATCCTAAAAAATATTTTGATTTGACTATTGCCGAGCTCAAAACCGACCACTCACTAAATATTCGATTGACCAAATTTACTAAGTAATATAATTTGAAAAATGTTGATTTTCGTTTTATATATCTATAAATACGTATAAAACATAATCCTAAAAAATATTTTTAAAATATCGTGATTTGGCGGATAACCGACTCGTAGCTCACCCAATGACTAAATACTGAATTGCTGGCGTTATAAATCAAAATCTCTTAATTTTTGTTTTATACGTGTATATTTACGTGCTATGCATTATCCTAAAAAATATTTTGAAAATAATTTGATTTGACTGATTGCTGAGTTCAAAACCGACCTCTTACTAAATATTCGATTGATCAAATTTACTGGTAAGCGGAAAATAATTCACCGGAAAAAAATCACCGAAAATAATTCCTCGGAAAAAAATTCCTGTAGAAATATATGAAAATTATGAAAGAGGTAATTTAGAATTGAAAAGAAAAATGTGAAAGCAAATTTTTACTGAGAAAGAGAAAGGTTATTTCCTTTATCTACTTTTCATCTAGACTTGAATAGATATTAAAACAGGTAATTAAACCACATTATATTTACCATGCAGAGGGGGTGGTTATTTCTAACATGCCACTGTTAAAATATATATAACATTAAAATAATATTATGGCACTATTCTGTTGCGTATGCTAATATCAGTTTGAATCCCGGACAAAAATAACATAATGGAAATTTTTATGTTTAATTTTTAAAAATTGTATCTGATTATAAATTTTCAAAAAAAGTATTAATATTAATCACTGATTACAAAAGCTTATTTAATTCAAAGACTATCTCAAGTAGAACATTACAAAAAAATATACTATTTATTCTAAATAATATTTGTTTATTTTTATAAATATTATAATTTTTAATATATTTAATTCATTAAAGAAAACACATGAGGGACTATAATCTTAAAATAGAAACTTTTTTATTTAAAAGTTTTTAACTCCAAAAATATTATTACATAATCCCAGTTAGTTTCTTATATTATTATTTATAACGTAAGGAAATTTATGCTCAAAAATAAATAAATTTATATATTTGGGTGATATATTCTTTGTAATTTTGAAACAAACGATTTTCATTTAGTTTTTTTTATTACTTTTTATAAAATTTTCTTTTACTAAAATATTTTTGATAATTTTAATAAATTTTTTATGTTTATTCTTCCGTTAAATAAGCATGCTAAAATTTTTCATGAGGGATATTCCTACAATTATCATAAAACTACGAAAATTTTTAGTTATTTTGAAATATTACAATGAAAATGACTATACATTGGAAAATACGCCTCATATTCATCCTATAAATCCACATGAATATCAAATTGAAAATGCTATAAGCACGATGCCTCTGAAACAAATCAAAATACTTGCCAAATATATGCAGAAGAAATGTCTAAATTGTCTCCCGAATCCAGAAAAAGACTTCCGAATGAAGAGAGTATCAAGAGGACACTTAGAAATCGCAAAATAAAAAGGTTTCCTCTTATTCCGGCCACATTGGAAGAATTAAGCATTTTAGGTTAAATCATATTTATGTCTATAAATAACTTTTATTGGAAATATCTTTTAATATTAGAGGATTGGGCTACAACCGGATCTCCCACGAATGAGAGATTTCTTTTGCATGATAATGGCGGAGATTCTAATGAACGGATAATTTTATTTGCCACCGATTACATGCTTAAAATGCTAGCCGAAACGAAAACTTGGTATATAGACGGGAATTTTAAATTGGCTCCTCATTTATTTTTGCAGCTATATGTAATTAGAATACCCTTTAAAACACTATATATAACAGCGGCATATTTCTTGGTTGTTACAAAGAAAAACGTATACAACATATGAAGAAATTTTTAAGATTTTACTCGAATTAGCCCAAGAACGGAATTTGGTCATAGATCCGATTACAATTTATATGGATTTTGAAAAGGCTGCAATCAATGCCGTCGAAAATACTCTAGGTTTCTTTTTACGATTTAATTACATCTATATACTATCGAGATATGCTAGGACCTTGATTTTAAAATATATTTTGGACCGTGGAACTTTAAATTTTTTTTTAATTCTAATTTCCTTTTTCTGTTGTTTTTAGGAATATTTTAAACGATTTTTTTATGAGTGTAGGATGAACGAACCCATTTCTAGTAACACTGTGTGACAAATTTTGACTTGATTTTTTGGGAGAAAATAAAATAAACATGTTTTAAGTAAATTCTTAGAAAATAATTCTTCAGAATTAATTTTATCAAAATTTTTAAATATTTTATTTGAGAATTATTATTTCGTTGATTTATTTTTAGGGAATTTTTTCTCCTAATTTATTAATTTTGTAATTTTAATTATCTTAAAAACGGAGATTTTTTTTCCGGGGAATTATTTTTCTAGATTCTTTTTTAATATAGTACATTTAATATATTTATTGTGGCTTTCGTTCTCTTCGCTACACTGCACAAGGTACGATTCCCAAACAATTTATTTTAAATGAAATAGTTGCATTTCTCATATTTAAATAAATATATTATGCTAAGCTAACCTATCTCATATTTTACTTTTAATAAACCTTTTATCGGTCCGTTGTCTCACCCCCTCCTTCATTATTATATAGGATTTAACTTGTAATATACAATAAATTTATTGAATTTAAAACAAATTAAACAATAACATAAAATTTATCGAATTTAAAAACATTTAATGGTAAATCTAAATATATTTCCGCGAATATGAAGTTGATGATTTATTTTCAAAAAAGATACTCCAGCAGTAGTCCGCCAACATATTTATACGATTCTTGCCGGGAATTTAAATTGAAAACTTAAGACCCCCAAAACGAAATTCTTTACCATTTTTCTCAAAAAGCAATCGATAAAAAATTATAAAAATTAATAAATTTATAAGGAAATATAAGTCTAACACTATCACCAATTTTCAGGGATTTTCATTTGATACTTTTTAAAATATATCCGTATAAAGACCTAAATTTTACCATTTTTGAGATTTTGAAAAGTTGCCTTTATACGATAATATTTTTAAAACTTGACGTGAAGGGAAAACTTAGAAAACGAATTCGAACTCAATGTCAAATTCTTCACCAAAACTTGTTTTTATTTATTTTTTCTCCCATTTTTCTTGTCACACAATGTAATTAATAAAAATTGATAAAGACATAAATATTAAATAAAACCTATACAATAATTTTAATCTATATTTTTTCAACTTTTAGGTAGAGATATCAACATCCAAGGATGTTTTTATCATCTAACTCAATCAACTCATAGAAAGATTCAGGAATTGGGATTAGAATCATCATATCGGAA